ATATATATATATATATATATATATATATATATATATATATATATATATATATATAATCGTTCCCCCAAATAATTAACCCCTCAAGCAGCCCACTAATTAAAAAGATCACCAAATTTAGGAGAAAATCCACCAATTTGACAACACTGGTTGCCTCCCACGCGGGTCGGCTCTCGTTTGGCACCGCAATGTTAATTTGTTAAAATGTTAACACGTACGTAAAGTTACATTATCATTGCCGCATCGCCGTCTCTAATTTTGTTCGAAAGACGCTGGACAAGTCGTCTGTGCAACAAGAAAGGTGACACATGTCAGAAGATATTTTTGAATTATGTGGAGTGTGTTGTGCCTCTTTCGGAATCAGACTGAGTTCATCGTATTCCTCGGGAGTCACGTCTCTTGGGAGAACTGAGTGATTTAATATTTACTGAATGTTCAGAGGGAATAGCATGGTGAGCTAAATGATTAACAGAAATTCACCCAAGAGCTATTTATTCTTACGAGTGCCTAGGTAGAGAGGAGAGGAGAGAGAGAGAGAGAGAGAGAGAGAGAGAGAGAGGGAGAGAGAGAGATGGAGGAAAAGGAGGAACAAGAGATGAGGGAAGTTGAACAAACATGATTAACGGCTTATCGTCTCCACAGTGCTGCCATTGTTGCCGCTGTTTCTGCTGCTGTTTGTTTGCAAGAGGTACCAGCTCTCACGAGTATACTTGTGGTTTGTTTCCGAAAGTAGCTCACACGCGTCGTAGACCGATGTCCTGACGGCTGAAAGAGAGCGTGGCCGCTTATATAATTTTGGGGATTTTTTGTGGAAGGAAAACAGACTGGAGATCGTTGAAGAAATATATTCAAAGAGTAACGTGAGGGTAACCTGAAAAGATGGTTTTGTAGTCTTAGAATTCCTGGCCGGTGGAGAAGATTGGTGTGTGTTGGCGAATAGCGAATGGAGGAAAAAAATGTTTAGAAAACAGAATAAATTTACTAGTAAAAATTTCATAAGGGTACTTCACAAAGCATACATTACACGACCTTGAAATGACGAACACTGCCTTTTACGGTGAAATTAAAGACGCCGCTCGGGATAAAATCGTTCTGCAAAAATGACAAATGTTCCGATGTGTCATTTGTCTTGCGCACAGACGACGTGAGCCTTGAACATTGCAAGAACGCGGAGCACGCGGGAGGATGAACGCAATTTAATAATTGAGGAATATGAAATTAGAGGAATTTAAATCGATGAATTAATTAAAATAAAACTAGTGGTGCCACAAGAGCACCTACTTTCTCGAATTATTTGTAACGGTTACGTAATATATTTATAATACAACGTGAACATACATGTGAGCAATTTGTAAAAATTAAAACGTTACATCAAAATGTTTGTCGTGTTATTCAGTGTATTGATCTCTATTTAAAAAAAACGTTTTGGGGGAACATCTTGTATTTAAAATTGCCTTTATATCAAGCCGTATTATCCGTAAATGACGTATTGTGCGCACGTCCACACTTGCGTTTTCGCAAGCGCACATCTCTCTCTCTCTCTCTCTCTCTCTCTCTCTCTCTCTCTCTCTCTGTCTGTCTGTCTGTCTGTCTGTGTCTGTCTGTCTGTCTCTCTCTCTCTGTCTTTATACCTCTGTCACACACACACACGCATACACACACTCGGCAGGAAATATGCTGGGACCAACGATCAAACATCCGTTGCTCACATTTCAATGCTTCAAACTGCGAAAAGAAACTGATAGCCTGGAATGTGTAGAGTGCTTTCTCCTGACTAGTCCTCTGAACTGCAACCACTGCTACTGCTACTACTGGTACTCCTACTCTTACTCCCATTGTTATTATTACAGCTGCAGCTATTTCTACAGCTACTGTTATTGCTACAACCACCACCAATACAACCCCTACTACAACCACCACAACAACAATAACAAGCACCACCACCACAACAACCACCACTACAATTACAACCATAACCACCGGTGTTTTATTTGATCAGATAATTAAATGAATTTGAATTTATTTATTTTATATTAACATATTCAACGACACATTTCTTATTATTCGCTGCGTTTTTATTATTGTACACTCAGGAGTTTGTTGAATTGAAAATAAAATGTGAAAAAGTAAAATAATTTACTTGTACTTTACTCACGAGATTTAAATCCCTTTTACGAAATGCATTGGGAAGAAAACGTACTATAAATTCAGCTGTCATTTACTGTTCAACAGATGAAGGTTAGAAGTTTTAAAGAATTCGCGGAGAACAACAACGAGAGCTACTTTCAACTTCCAACAACTTCCCAAAGTTCAAAACATTCTACAGAAAGAAGCGCTTCTCATGGAAATATTTCGATAAGTACTTTATCCTGCGAAAGCAATTTATTTACAATTTTTAGAATTTTCTCGAATATTCTGGTGATTTTGTTAGGACTCCTCAAAGCGCACCGTTCTATAGTGGTGCTATAGAATGGCACCATCTTTCTCGAAGAAGTTACTTTTCTAATCCCTTGGTCTAGGATAGCTTTCCGGCATTCCCTCATCCTCTTGCCGGTTGCCAGCTATCGGCTTCTAAAAGTCATTTTTTCTCCATTTTCTCCATTTTTGGTTTCTGTAGGAGTAGAATTTAAATATTACTTTACGATTATTACTGAAGAGTAAACCATGGTTCTATACGCACTTTTCCATTGAAACATTAAGTTCAACAAACACTTCTTTGAGAAAATGCCATTTGAGCGTTTCTGAAAATGCGTAATTTCAATGACATTTTCACACAAAAGTTTTGAGTTTTTGAGAAACTTCATAAAAGTTCATTTGAAACATTTGTACTCACGAATGATAAATGTATAAAATATGCCCATATTGTAAATATTAGCAGCGTGGGAGATATTTCAAAACAATTACATTCGTGTAATTTAAAAAAATCATAATAATAAACAATTTTTTTGTTTATTTCGTGTTATTCAGAGTACTTAATATTAACCGTACAAAACGGATAAAGAAAAATATGGGTCCGTTTCCGAAAAAAATTGTTTTTAAGTTGCTCTTATTTTACGCTGAAATACGCGGAAAACTTCTCATGTTTTGAAAAAAATGACCATAACCTCATTTAAAGTTCTAAAGTTCATCTAAAGAACAGATTTCATTAAAAAATAAAAATATCCATCTCCAATCTTGTAGTTGTAGGAAGATGCCGAAACAATTTTAAACTTTTGCAATTTTCGAAAATTCAGAGAATTAAACAAAAACTGTATCTGCGTCATGTTTGTAAGCGTACTTTACTCTAACGCGTAAAAAGATATCCAAAAATTTGGAGCGATATTTGAGAAAAAATTGAAAATGTGGTTGAGGTTTGATGGTTGAGATTTCATGTAAAAGGTTCCCTCCAAAATTCAAATAATCCATTTCAAATTCAAGAGCCGGCGACATCAGTCACATCCATCAGTAATATATCGAATATCAATTTGATAAAAACCCTACATGCGGTTTAGCCCTTAAGGTTGTTCACAGAGGGACGGGCAGACGTTTTGCCATAAACCAATTTTTGGCTACCAAGTACCCACAAAATGTGTATTATGACAACAGAACCAGTTAAAGGAAATAAATTACTGCTTAAAGGGTCAAGAATAACCTACTTTTCAGTACCAGGCACCTACAATTCGAATTTTTCTGCCGAAAAATCACCGGCTTTTGCTGCAGCATTACATAACTTTTTCTATACTACGTATGTTAGGTGTTTAATGTAAAATATTATTATAAACAAATTTATTTTAAAATATTTATTTAAAAATCTAATTAAAAATTCACTGAAAAATTAAATGTTTGGTTCTGAAAGATGACGTTACAGAGCGACTGAGATAGCCCACTTTCGTGTACCCTAATAAGTCAGTCAGTAGGTCACTCGCGCATGTTATCACGGAAACCTCATTTCCATATATTAATATTGACAAAACTAAATTCCAAAGAAAAATTCAAAATAACCCACTTATTTTATTTCTCGTTTATACAAAAATATAGTATTTTAATAAAACTTTTCCAACTTCAGATTTGTCGGATATAAGTAAGTTTTCAGTATTGACGCTTTGAAAATAGTTGATTTCAGAATCCCGTGTCTCCTTCAGTTCATCTGCTACACTGTTCGTCAATTTAGTCTCCAGCATGTCAATTACAGTGACAACTCGGGAAAAAGTCGAAATATTTTCGCCATTAGTTGTGAAAAAAGGTGTCATTATATAGGAAACATCATGATCTCACAACGAATGAAAATTTGAAATTGAAACATTGTAACTTTTGGAAAAACGATACCTTGTTTTCTATTTTTTATGAACATAGTAACTGCGAATAAAGCAATTCTCTCTTTTTCTTCTCAGACGATGGGTACATGTCCAATTTACGAGGTCCCCAGCTTGGAGATTGGTGCGACGAAACAGATGACTGTGCCGATGAAGACAGCAAACTGGAATGCAGAAACCAACAGTGCGTGTGCCGTGACGGTTTCGAGTACAGCGATGGATTCTGCAAAAGGAGTGCAGGTATCCGTAACTTTTGTCAACCGAATAGCCGAGGTCGTTAAGGTAGTAATGCCGAAGGGATCTGGGATTGAAAGATCGCGGGCTCGAATCTCGCCTCGGGTATGGTTGTATTTGTGTTCATTCTTTCACCCCTCACCATCATCATATCACATCATACTGGTAACCCTATCGTTAAACTATAGTGGTCGCTTATAACCTAGCTGTTGATTCGACCTTAAAAGAACGGAGATATTTTTTTTTCAGAATAACTTGCTTTCGAAAATTATAATACCAAAACTATTATTAATAATAATTAGCATAATCATCATTTTGGCCTTGGAATCTCTGATGTTTACTCTTTGGGAGGCCATACAGACATATTTCAACCAATGATAGGTGATTTAACACAATGCAACAATTGAAGGTTTTCAGAATCACGGAGTTTTGGGCTATAGGAGTTTTAATACTTAAATAAAATAAAATTTTAACTCTTCCCAAATGTCTATACAACTTTTTGTTGACCAAACCATTTGATGTAATTACTTTTGGGAAAATTGTCACTGAATTGAATTTTTACATTCTTATATATTCTATTACAAGAGGGTGCATTTAGATATTTTTTTCAGATTCTACTGCATTAATCTTGTGATCAAGGGAGGGAGAAAAAGGAAAGGGAAAGAGTGATAGGGAAAAGAGAGATAGGTAACAGAGAGAGGGGGAAAGAGAGAGGGAAAAGGAGAGGGAGAAAAAGGGAAAAAGTAAGAAGGGAAAAGGGGTGAAAGGGAAAAGGAAATATGCAAAAAAAGATTGGAAAAGGGAGAGGGGAAGAAAGGAGAAAGAGGGAATAAAAGAGGGGGAATGGGAGAAAAACGGAAAAAGGGAGTAGGGAAAATATGAAGAAAGGGAAATGAACGAGAGAGAGAGAGAGAGAGAGAGAGAGAGAAGAAAAAGAGAGCGGGGAGAAGGGAAATAGAGAGAGTAAAAGGGAAAAAGTGGAAAAGAAGAGGGAAAATAGAGCGTGAGAAGAGAGAGGGAAAAAGGGAGAGAGGTGAAAAGGGAAAGAGAGGAAAAGGGAGAGAGGGAAAATCGAGGAAAATACACAGGAAAGGAGAAAGGGAAAAAGAGAGAGTTGGAAAGAGGGATAAAATGAATCATAAAAAGGTGGATAAAAAGAGAGGAAAAGAGAGAGGAAGAGAGAAAGTGGGAAAGGGAGAGGGAGAGAGAAAGAGGGAAAGAGAGTGAAGGAAAAGAGAGAGAGAGAGAGAGAGAGAGAGAGCAGGATTTCGACCAAGTTTTCTTAGTATTAACATAAAATAACACCGTTTATACAAATAATACTACCATTTCAACAGTAAAGTTTCAAAATCTCATGTCTCTCATGAACCTCACTGCTGAGAGTTTTTGGTATGACGTCAGTTGCTGACAGTTCCATTGGAACAATTTTCACTTCTGATATACGCAATTGTTCGTTGCGCGTTGGTTATATGGTTTTCCTAAGAGGAATATGGAAGTTGCAGGGGATGATAAGGAAAGAAAAAAATATTTGATTGGTGTCTGATATAATGATCAATTGTGTGAAGAACAAACTTTCTGTGAAGTTACTTGTTTGACACGTACCAAGGCGCTTTCACGGCAGTGCGAAGGATTTTATTTTGCAATGTTTGGAGTATTTTACGAACCGAAGGAGCAGCTACTTCCCAGACCGGACATTCATAAGTAAGTACGGAACGTATGGCAGTTTTATAAAGTAATAGGGATATATCTGCTTTAAAAGCTGACATTTTGTTAATTAAAGGATACATTTTGAAAAGTGCGGCCTTTGTCTTTTTGTATTTATTTAAAATATGTGGTTTCCAAGTTAGTCTGGTGTCAAGGAGCACTCCTATATATTTTATCGGTTTATGTAGAGGATTCCAAGAAACGCTTTGATTATTAATATATATGTGAGTGGAATCGTTGATGCGCCGAAGAGAGAATATTTTAGCTTCGCATTTACACGGATTTAGATTATCTCCATAAAAGATTCCCCTCTGAAAAATGTGTAGTGATTCGTGCAGGTGATGTATGGCGAGTCCGCTGCATATATGGCTACGTCGTCAGCATACAGCGCAGTTGTGTGTGCGTCGAACTGGTATCTCTATGGTGAATGTTTTAAAGAATGTAGAAGAGAGCTGGAACTCTTGAGTAATCCCAGCAAAGATTATCGAGAAGGTGGAATATAATTATTTAGTTTGACTCAGAAAGAGAAATTTGAGATGAAACTAAGTATTATGTTGAATAAATAGTCGGGATGTGTTCCTATGTGTCATAATTTGTAAAGTGGGCCTTTGTGACAGACACGATCAAACGCTTGTGCGAAACTCAAAAAAAAAGGCTGTTAGGTATTTCTTATTATGATAAGCCTGGGCGATGTCTGCAGAAAATCTTAAGAATTGGTGAACTGTAGAATGGTTTGGCCTGAATCCAAACTGACATCAAGTCGGGCATGTTATTATTATTGAAGAAACTGTTTAGTCTAAATATTATTAGTTTCTCGAATAATTTGCTTAATACGGATAGAAGACTTATGGGCCTGTAGTTGGTGGGGCATTAGGGGATTTGTTGGTTTTAAAATTGAGATGATTATTGCTTGTTTCCATACGTTGGGAAAATAACCAACTTCTAAGCATCCATTAAAGATGCCAGTTAGGAAGGCAATGCTACGTTTAGAAGCGTTTTTAAGTGCCATGACAGAGAAATTGTGAATTTCCGCGGATTTCTTGTTTTTCGCGTTTTTAATTAGTTCTATTCCCTTGAATGGAGCAATGTAATTAATTGGTAGCGGCACAGATGAGTACTGTTTAACGAGAAAAAGAATGATTTTGTTTAAGTGTGTGAAGTGATTTTCAGTCTCTTTATTTATTGCAGGTTTCTTGCTTTTTCTTATTTTCAATCGCGCAAAAAAGTGAGATTCAGAGATAGTTTCTAAACTTATAAAGACTAACGTACCCGTGCGAGAACTATCGCATGTTCTTAGGTACCTCAAGAAAAGCAGTTCTGAGCCCAACAATAAGAGAATTAATATATTCACCAGTGAGTGATAAATACCATTTGTTACCATATTTTTAAAAAAAAGTTAAATTTCATTTTTAGTGGGTAATGGTAGATATAGATTGTGGTAATGGTAGATATAGATAATGGGTAATGGTAGATATAGATACGTACCAAACCAGAAAAATTCAATTGAATGACCAAAAATATCTCATTCTATAGGTTATAATACTAGGAACATTTCTTTAAGGCCTTTGGCCTTTGACTTGAAAATTTTGGTTTTTAAGGCCCTAGAACGCTTTGTTTAGGAGTTATTTAACGACTGAGGGCTGCGAGTTGCATTTGACATGAATATTCAGATGTTTTTTTAACAAATCCTTCATATTTTTAAAATCAAAGTGCAATTCGTCACGTCTTCGTGAAATTCTATTTCTTTGAGGACCTCATTTACAAAGATCAGTTACGTGTGAGAGTCGCAAAAGGTATGTATACTACTGAAATAATATAGGAAACGATTGTACTAAAAGTTTCTAAAGAAACATTTAAAAAAAAGTTCTCTTGCAGGTGCAGCGCCCCCAGAGCCGCCTACCCTGGGCAACTGGTGCGAAGACAGCGCCGACTGCGAGGCCGTCAGCCCTCTCATGGAGTGCCGGGACGCCTTGTGCGAGTGCATCGGAGGATACGTCGCGCTCAACGGAACGTGCTCGTTGCCGTCGCCCTCATGTGAGCCACCGCGCGCGTAGACACCAGCTCTTTTGTGCCCTCTGTTCAAGTTATGAAAATACTACCCACTACTTCTAGACACAAACATGCACAAGTGACAAAACAGTAAACGTTTGTGGGGATGTGTAATAATAAGATTGAACAACAATTTCGGCAGTTGTGAGGTCAGAATTATTCTCTTAATTAAACACACTATGGGTTACCACACTGATTTAAAGAAAATAGCTATGCATTAAAATTTAATATAATATTGTTAATGTTGATAAATTTACGAATATTTAATCTGGACTCATGGTCTCCTAAGTCGGACCTAAAAAAATGCACAAGTGATAAAAAACAAATTGGTAAAATGAACATGCGTATTGAAAATAATATTTGTACCAGAAGATATCCTTACCCAGAAGATAACGATAAACAACTTGTAAGGTTTATTAATCACGGTGATTGCTTATTTATCAATAAAATGATGGATTTATAACCTTCAGTATTGAATAAATCAATAACTACATTATTTATCAGGTGAAATATTGAAAAAAATCACAAATTACTGAAATGATGAATCTTAATTGTATACATAATTTCTTATTACTTTCAAATACATGTTCTTAATCTATTCACAGTTCAAGTCATTTTAACATTTTTTGAGTTTGTCACCTGATAAAATGACCGTAACTGGAAACGTTGTGGGCTTTAAAAAATGACATAAATTCACAATACTACTTCTGTAGTTATTGTTTTTAATTCCGAAGGAGATAAATCCTAGTAGTTTAAAAATCGTATCGTAGTAAAAAATTGTTAAAAGTTATTACCGTCTTACTGATGAAATATAGTTGACAGTCCAATTCTTAATATAAAGATTTCGAAACCTCTTTGTAACACCGACGCATTATGAGTGTCTACCAATCAGAAGCAATTGTCACACGTGCAACTCCGTTGTATGCAGCTTCCTACTGCGTGATTATTGGCAAAAAGCGATCGTCCAATCGTCTTCATCCCCCTTACGTGCCGTGGGTGTTTGTAACATTTCCTCTGACGAGCCTGCACATGGAGTGTTCTTTTGTTTTCGCCGCAGACGGCCGCTCGCTTCCAGGCCTCCCGGCGCTTCAGCCTGGCGACCCTTGCGAAGAGGCCGACGACTGCGCTCTGCCTGACACGAACCTGGAATGCAGAGGGGGCGTCTGCATGTGCAAGGAAGGGTATACGTCCATTAACGGCACGTGCCAGACAATTCGTAAGTTCCTCTTCCTGTTTATTCTACACTAGCTGTACATGCACAGAAACAAGGACTGTAGAAAAGTTACGACATGAATTAGTGCACGTCCATGAATATACGTTTTCCTATATTTCCAAGATATTTCCACAAATATATAAATGGATACTGTTTTGTCGTGTTACAGAAAATCCTACTCCCAACCTCACCTTAATGTATGTAACAAAATGTATGAAATACAATTTCTAAATTATAAAGTACTCCATTACCTCTTTTATCATTGTTTTTATCATTTTATCTAGTATCATTGTAGTTGGATATCATACGAATTATATATAAGAAAACATTATAAATACTTACATCTAATAGCACAAACAATCACTTTAATTATTCAACAACACAAGTTCACTAAGCAAAGATCAATAGCTCTTCATTTTTTTCATCATGGAACGCCAGTTTCCCGTTTACATAATTTCAAACAATGGCTAATGTCGCTAGCTTTTTACAAAATATACAAGAAAATAGACTGCGATTCTATCAAAATATAGTGACCTCCACTCCTAATGTTTTCTCATTTTTTGACTCCTCACTTATTTTAAAACATTCTCTGGGAGACGGAATATGAGGGATACATTCAGCTATTAAATTATTATTATATATATATATATATATATATATATATATATATATATAATGTAAAATTATGCAATTATTCAATCCTTAAGAAATGACAACGTTGATTTATTTTATAACTATTTAAATGATATATGCAAGTGAACCAGTGAACAGCACATACTATCTCCATATATTACTTATATTATTTTTATTTATTCAATAGGTAATTATTACAAACAAATTAGCTTAAGGCTTAATGGCTTAAAGGCCCTCAACCTAGCCACATAGGATCAAGTAAGCTAATTTGTTTGTAATAATTACCTATTAAATAAATAAAAATATAATATTACTTATATGGAACGGTTACAAAAAAATGATAATTGCAACTTGAATTCTACTAATTCTTCATACATTCCTTGAAACTTCAGCTGAAGAAACGTGAGAGTTGCGAGTTTGCAATTTTCGAAATTCATTGGTTTTAATTATATTCGGACTTGCCCTATATTTATAAGACAACTTTGCTCCATGAAAAATATAAAGAAAATATTTTTATGCCATGGAAATCGAAGCCCTGTTTTCACGTTTCTAGGTCAAGAACTAGACCAATTTCTCATCATGCGCTACTTCTAATGGTTCTCTTCTATACAAAGCAGGTCAAATATTTACACTTGCAAATTTTTGAGACTTAAAGAAAATTCTTAAGAAATAATTTAAAGAATTTATGTCCAAAATTGTATTAAATTACAAAAAACCCTGAATTGTAAATATTAATAAATTTGTTATGTTATGATGTTTCAAAAATGATGTTCATGTTATTTTGGAGAATTGAAAAGTTTTAATTAAAATGGAACTTACGTCATGCGATATAGTAACCTTGTGCTCTATCCATACAATTTAAGACAAACAATTGAAGCTTGTTTCGAAAATATCTTGTTCAGATATTTTTGAAAATATGCATTATTACACAAAACCACTAACATTTAAAAAAAAACCCTTCAGAAAGAAATGTTATTAACCAATACGGAGGAATAGGTACATTACACCAAGAGAGAAATCTCTAGTTTTAATATTGAAGTCGAATACAATTAAAAACTAACATTACTGATACATTTTATCCTTTTTGTCACCTTTCCTTCAAACCAATCTTTTATTTAGTTTATTTAAGTATAAGAATATACGAAATTGGTAATGTCTAACAATAATCATTAGGAACTACAATTTACAGAGTAGACTAAACTGGATACAAACGTCACTTATTCCATAATTGGCTGATTACATTATTTTATGTATCGATTAATAACATTTTTCTTGAGTCTTTCAAATTTAGAAAATAAAAGGGGGATGATGTATCGATCCTAGCTGCCGCAGCCACCACAACGCCAACCGCTTCCCCAGCTCCAAAGGTGGGAGATCCGTGTGAGGAGACGATGGATTGCACGGAAGTGGACAAAAACCTGGAGTGTAGGATCAACCGATGCGAGTGCAAGGACGGGCACCACCTTGATGGCGAGCTCTGCAAGCCCCAGCCCAAGACTGGTGAGTAGGTTGGGAAAAAATTTTAAAAAATATATATTTTATTAATAATGGACTTTTTGGAATGAATACTTTATTAAGTAAATACATACTATTATTTAAAAATTTTTATTCCAGATAATAATAATTAAAGATAATTTACTAAAATAATTTCTTGTTACTATTTACTTTTAACTTGTTATAAATACGTATTTATGTCAAATGTTTATATGATTGTATGAATAATACATATTCCTGAGATATTTTTTAAAATTATATCTAAATGTATAGTCGTATCAGGTTATAGTGAACCCCTAGGGACAAAAGACCAATATTTTTATTTCACTGTATACGATAATTTCAGAATGTAATGTAGTTTTGCAACTATGATTGGTTTTGTTATTTTAGAGGCGGGAGAAAAGTGGTAATGATGGTTCGCGAAAATTGCCTGATAAATTGACACTGAAAAAATATATTATTACCTCAAAAATGTTTTGTGTAATATATGGCATTCATAAATATCTGACAACGGTAACTCATTTACCCTACAATCAGCTGTCGATGTATTAAAAAATTGAAAATGAAATTGTCTCACTGTACCCTTGAGAATCTGATGGCAGGAACAGTGAGACGTCACTAGTGGTGATATCATCTGTATTCTTGTATATTAATACCGATTTCAAGGTCGTTCCGTTAGCTGAAAACTGCTTGGATTGATTTTTCTGATCCTGAGAATAATATGAATGTAGCATATTCCAGTTTCACGGCAGACAATATTGAACAATTTTCTGCTGACGTGTGACTGAAGTAGGTTAATTAATTGAAATACTTAATTGAAATTTCATTACTGAGTACAGCATATCCTGGCCCCTAATTATTTTTAAACACGTTTGCGTATTTATATTATAAAGTCGGTTAATAATAGCAGCAATAACACATTTAGAGCCCACTAACTTTCATATGAAACAAAAAATATGAATTTTGATTGAGAAGAAAACTCAAATTTCTTTCTAAACGAAAACCGTGTTTTAAATATAAATATGTGGATCGGGACCAATTTAATTCATTGTAACTAAAAGTTCTCTACATCCGAGATCACTACGTCTACAGCCGTTATTTACAATATTGACGAAGTGGAGCAGGAACGTCGTAATCTTTCTTCCAAACATCCAGATCCTCCGCCCACGCGACGGCCGTCAGTGCTCGGCGACTGGTGCTTCCAAGACGAGGACTGCGGAGCAGCCGACGCGAACTCGGAGTGCTTCGGGGGAGTGTGCTTGTGCAAGCAGGGCTACGTTCCGGAGAACGGCCGGTGTGACGTAGATAAACGTGAGTGACTGAAATAACTGGAAGTTTTTGGTTCGAGTAGTTTGTACTAACAGCCGTACAGACAGACGTGTCTCCCGGGTATTTTTTTAACGCAGTCTTCTACATTGAAGACAGTATAAGGAATGAATTCTCTCTAGAGAGAAAAATGGATGTAATTGAATTTAAATTTATGGACACTTCCCCCCTTGCTTGCCCGGTCTAGTCCCCTGTCCAGCCTCGCACACTCCTGTAACCTTCTACGCCTTGCATCCCGTAAGTCGAAATAAAGGTCGGCGCCAGATCTCACCATCCAGCGAGGCAGGAACACAATCACCTCCCGTAATAAATAACATGCCCCACACTTACGGGAACAATGGTGATAGCAGTTGACGCTCCCGGAAACACGAAACAATCAAGCAATCAATAATATATACCAAAGTCACGTTTCTGGCTTCAGAACTTTGGACGGGATCAGTCCATCGCCCGGCCCCAAGATGATTGTGGGGGTGATGGTGACGATCACATGATTGTGAGGTGGAAGTGCGATGACTTCGATATGGCCTTTGGCCCGTAGTAACATCAGTTAGCATGAGTGCCCGCGAAAGGCTTCGTTCCTAGGGGAAATTGCTCAATCTTAAACCCGATTTCCACGCTTCCTTTTCGCAAACTATTCCGGAACTTTAGCGAACGCGCGCATGCGCAGTGTCGCTTCTGGGATTTCAAATGACATGCGCGCGTTCGCTAAAACTCCAGAAACGATCGTCAAAGGAAGCACGTGAATTGGGTCTTAGTCTTACTGAGCGGAGTCTTTGCGAAAGGGCTGCGGGGCATACCGCGTGTTGGTCGCTCTGAGTTTCCGGAGCTGCTTGCTTTAGACAAGCTGTGATAATCTGGCGTTACGTGCCATTCAATTTTGCGGTCCGCGTCTAGTAACATAAAGCAAAGAAAAATATTTTCACAATTACGATGATCGTATATTCCATACGTGCTGAGAAATCAGCTAGTGTCAAAGTGTACCGACCCGACAAGGACTATTTGTTTTTCCGGGTAGACCACTGCTTCACGTCCGTATACTTGCAGAACTTTCGAGATCATGGGGGATTGGGAAGAAATGATCGCGCGTGCTCCCTGGTCTGTTGTTTAAAGTACTGTCAAGGGATCCGCATCGTTTTGACCGATGGAAACCACAAAAAACGACGTGTTCAGCCTCTAGAATTCCGATCCACGCCGTGACATCACCTGACTCGGATATTTACCTGGTGTCGACAATACTACACGTCGTGACTCGACCGGCAAAAGTGGCTTAGGAAATCAGCTGATGTCACTGCAGTGCCTCTGACCGAGGTCCTGGGGTTCGAGTCCCGACGTTGGCAGAATTTTCGACACTAGCTTATCAGCTAGGTGAATTCAGAGGCCAGCTGAATTTAGTGTGGAGGAGAATTTTAGCGGTCAGCTGCTCTGACTAGTATTTTCGGTGGTTTCTCCAATCACCAACAGGCGAATGCTGGAGCAGTACCCTTACAAACGGGTCTCGGATCACTCGCCATCTTTCCTTCCGATTCCTTATCCTAACCTCATCCCTTGACTTGAACACACTCACTACGCTACCACACATGTCGGTAGCGTAGAGCCTTGTAACGGACTTGAGGCGGTTCCCCCCTAGTGAAATATATATAGTTGGAGAAAATCCCCGCAAGTGGGTGTAGGTCGGCGCCGGATCTCACCATTCTGCGCGGGAAGATCACTACCACCCGCGATACATGCCCAACACTTACGGGATTAATAACCTTTGCCGTTGACGGAATCACTAATCAATCAATCGTGACTACAATCTAGAACCTCCCGTTCTAATTCTGCTGCGGGCTGCGTTAGATAGCGCAGGGGATAACTATTGCCACTATTGTGTCTAACCTGTAAGTCGTAAGGTTCTAGTTCTGATGGCAAATTTTCGACATTAGCTAGAGTGCTAGACTGAATTCAGCTGCTGCCTGGAGGAGAATCCTAACGGCTGGCGGCTGTGATCGGTACTTTTCCGTTGTTTCCCTAATCAATACCAGTCGAATGCTGGAGTAGTTTCTCGCGCAATCTTTCCTTCCTCATCCTTCTCCCCTCCTCTTCTCTTACACACGCACACATACACACAAACACACACACACCTTCACTTACTTTCACTATATTACTGGACATGTCGGGAGACGTGCTAGAACTTGCCTTAGGCGAAAATATTACCAATACAATCCGGATTTGTTTACAGTGCGGTGAATTGTCTAATTGCTATCTAAATTACTAACTTCCTTTGCGCGCAGAAAACTGAACGAAAAGACGGAAGCTTTCGGCCATGTGAGAGTTGTCTATTGTTTCTTTGGATAACCCAGGAACTCGGGAAAAATACTCTGAGATTTTCTGCCTTTTTTTATGGGTGTTCCGCAGCGCCCGTGGTTACCTCCACGACTACGAGTCGGCCACGGCCTCAGAAACCGCCGCACCTGGGTGACTGGTGTCTAGACGACCTCGACTGCGCGCTTACAGACGACAACATGGAGTGCTTCAGCGAAGTGTGCCTCTGCAGGCAGGGCTACGTGCAGCGCGAAGGGCTGTGCAAGAAGGAAATCAGTGAGTAATGCTTTACTCGTTGCATGGTGGGATGGAGTTTCAAGACATTGACTATTATTTCCAGGGATTTGATTACAAACCATTCTGAATTCTATAAATCTTATTTCAGGCATGAAGTAGCTTCATTTATTTAGGGAAAAGAGTTAATTCTAAGCAGGAAATTCGGGTCAATTGTTCATTCATAATAGGTATTACATATAATGAAATTGCAGGTAAATTCCAATTAATTATTCGATATTTTAATCAATGGAGAGATGAAAACAAAATTGTTCCTCCTGAAAATATTAACTTGAAATAAGAGGTTTTTTTTCGCTTCTTGTGCGCTAAATTCTGTTTTCCGGGTAAAGTTGATCAGTATTTCCACAAGTAGTTGGTTTTGCTTTAGGTAAAATTCCTCGAGATAAAAGTTAATTTTGATTACAAATGGTATCAGAAAATATTTATAATTTATATGTTAGGGAAAAACATGTTTTTAGCAGTATCTGAATTAATTCGCCAGTATTTCGAAGCAGTCGTGTATGTGGATATTTTACCGTATATGCATTCAACATTTTAAAACTTCGAACAAACTTCAATATTAATAGACGTAGGCTCGCATTTATATTGAAGGAATTAATTACTGTTTTCAGATTTTAAAAAATGGCGTAAAAATATTTTGCTCTCATGATTGACATCTCCCAAATACAATTATAAAAATTAGATCCTCCGGATACACGGAGATGTAGGTATTTTTTCACAGTATACACCACATTCATATGAATAAAATTATGCCTGTCTCCCTAATTCATGCCTATAAAATCAAAAATTCAGTCTCCAAAATTTGATATTACATAGCTCAGCTTTCTTCTGATATCCTACTAAGTGCCAAGTGTCTGCAATTGCCTCCTGCAGACACCCCGATGTGGTCAGGGGAGAAGGACGTCATGTCCAAAGTCGGGGGCCTGTGCGAGGAGAGGAGCGACTGCCCGCCCGAGGACTACGTGGAGTGCCGGCGGGGCTACTGCGAGTGCGTTGACGGCTACTTTGAAAGCGAAGGCAAATGCAGGAGGAAGATAGGTAAGTCATGTTTTGCACTCACGAATTGATAGGAGCAAGAGTATTTTGTGAATGTGTGTTTTAGTGCGTAAATTGTGGGGCGTCACTAAAATATTCTGCTTCAACTGGACGGTTGGTGTTTAACAGGAAATCATTAGGTTTATTTCGATTTTTGTACATCTACAAGAAATTTTTCTTAATCTAATAAAGAGTTTTGTATTTTAATTCTGAGTTCTCAGAACTTATTCAAGGGTTTCATTTTCTCTGAAGAGTTGATGAAAGCTCGATGGGTAATTTATAGGTTGTTCAGATCTGTTGATTTCTCAATGAGCTTTAGAAAATATGAGTGAGCCCGCGTTTGTATCATGCCTTTCTCAGGAATTATGCAGACACCAATTTCAGTCCAGAATATAATTTGCGAGATAAATTGACGTAGGATGTTCTAAATGTAGATATAATATACCTCGTGCAACCACCTGTAGTTTTTAGTTTTCCAAACCTACACCTCCCCTCTGCTGCCCAGCAGTCCAGCGAAGTCGACGTCATTTATTCGGAGAAATCTCTAGTTTACCGTATCTATGAAATGCAACTCGTTGAATACATACCACTTTCGTTGAATAAGATTTTCATTTTAATCAAACGTATTGGTATATAACAGATATCATATAAATATATCATTTCATTCACGCCTTAATATCAACATTTGTACCTATGAATATTGAATATGAATTTACGCTAACACGAAAATTGAATGTTATTTTCAAGGTAAAATTGGGGCTGCCTGTAATGAAGCCACGGACGTGTGCTACTTGGAAGACGACGACGGTGACGTCAAAACAGCGTGTGTGCAAGGGAAATGTCAATGCAAGCAGGGATTCTTTCTGGCCAATGGCAGATGCAAGAAACGAATAAGTAAGTTATAATGTGTTATACAAGCGTTAATCATCATTATATTGTGGAGACAAAGCAAGGCGCCCGAGAAATTCATTAACAACTCGAATATGGTGGTGCAATAACAGCACATACGTTCACACATTATTTGTAACAGTTATGTAATTTAATACTATATGTACTCATGCCAAAACTTTGCTCATTTCAACACGATACCTATATTTTCGCTATAGGGGTACTTCAGTTTGGAATTGCTCCATTCCTCTGCAAGTGACACCTACCCGCAAAAATATTTACTTGATGTGGGATTTGAACTCTACAAGTTAAGTTTCTGTGGAGAGCTCTATTCTAAAGTTCAAATGCCACGAAGCATGCATAAAACTTATATTTTTATTTTTTGACTATTCAAAAGTTTAAATTAAAATGACACTACTGCTAAATAATTTGGTATTTTGTGCTCTATCCTTACAAAATGTTTACAGAAAAAATAGTTTTTTGAGAAAATCTTATTCATTATTGTTTAAAATGGCCATAATTCAACACAAAATTTTGGAAACTCGTATTACAACTCTCATTATAAAAAACAAGAAATAATTTAAAAATATAATTTTAAAATTCTCAGCTCAATAATGTAATTGTAAGTGAATAACAATCTTTTGAGAATTTCGAAAATTCAGAGATTTAAAAAAATTATGATCCATGCCAAATTTATAAGCAATTAATGCAGCTATAAAATTAACGAAAAAATCGAAGCTATTCTTCAGAAAACTTTGAAAATCTCCTAAGAGTTTCTTATAAAATACCTCTAAAAACGTAATAGGCCTTAATATCAGACAGCTCCATCGATGAATATTAATTGGAGGGAGGGGGGAATGGTATACGGTTTAAGCGCTAGTAGTGTTCTCAGACGACCATGCAGAGAGACGTTTTGAAGGAACAATACCATACATTTCCGGGTTAAGTGACCAAATAAACGTGTATTGTATTGTCTTCAAAGTCTTGGAATCAGATGTTTGCACCATATACGAATATGTTTTGGAAACAGTAAAAATTATTCACCTGAAATTTGGTAATTTTGACAGTTACTTAAATATTTCTAAATTCATTGCACATTCCAAAATAGGCATGTTCACATCTTGTATTACCATGACCTCTATTAACAGGGCTAGTGTACGAACTGCCGTTTTTATCCGGAACCTACAGTGACCGCTTTGGACATTTCACTGTATATGAAACAGCTAAAGCTACTTTTAATATTCGAGTATCAACCTCTCCGATCGTCTGTCGTGTTTCTAAACACTGAGATTTTATTTAAATTTGATAGACTCAATTCGTTCCAGTCCTAATTATTCAAGTGAAAGTTTTTGATTAAACATGACTTTTTGATCAACATGTATTTTCATTGGTGTATGAACAATATTATCTACATTTCAGAGGACTTCTCAGTACTTACATTAATTTTATGGGATAAGAAATATTTCTCTTATACTTGTAAATTTATTTATGGATTTTATTACTGTTTGAGGAGAATCATGCTTCTTCAGTAATTTTTTTTGTGATATTTTAATATATATTTTTTGCATATTATTTTTGGACACTAAGAAAAGGGGTTCTTTTAGAGCATGCCTAGCGTGCGTAAAGTTCAGTTTTACCACTAGTGCTAAAAGTGAGATGTGCTCGAGTGTTCAGGTAAATCTGTGAAAGTGAAAAGAAAACAAAATTCTTTCGTCTGACCCCATCAACTACTACTGACCTTAATGTACTATTAAGTGATTTGTGAAATCGAATTAAAATAAAATAAAAGTCAGAATTGCTCTCCAAAAAATAGTGTATGACACACGTGGTAAAAGTAATTTTATTTTTATTACATTCATCGAATTGCGCCACTCGGTCAAACGGCTTCGTGTCCCAACATTTCCCATTGCAAAATTAAATGGCACGTTTACGACTTGTATCATAAATAATTAATCTGGGATGCAAATTTAATGTTTCTCATAGTTGTACCTCTTCCACAGACGAACTAGGAGCCAGATGTAATCCTGATCGCCACATCTGTTTCCTGGAAGCCGATGGAAACGACACTAAGACTGAATGCCGCGATGAGACCTGCAGGTGCAAAGAAGGCTTTGAAGAAAGTGCCGGGATATGTATTACTAGCGTCTATGACAAAGGTCATACACCTCATTCAGTTGCATGTCAATATTTATTATTATCTACGAGTAAAGCTGTCGATGTATTAAAATTATATAAGAAAAAGCCATAGAATATACAAAATTTATAATCTTAAAACAAGGATTTGCTTTTGTTGCAGAACTGGGAGCTAGCTGTGAAAATGACAGAGGCTGCTCTAGCATTTCACATGCAAAATGTAATGACGGAAAATGCATCTGCAAAGAAGGTTATGGGCCAATGAACAATAGAAATTGTGGAAAACGTAAGTCCGATAATATTAATGGGTAATCATGTGGATACTTATTTTAAATGGACGTCGTTCCATTAATGTAGAATGGAACGATGAAGATTTCGTGTACATACTAAACTCAAACACCGACATTTTACCCCAAACATGACGAGGACGGAACACAATACCAACGATGTATTGCTAAGGGTATTTCTATTCGACCACAGTCTGAAACAAAAAAATATCAACGCATTGTGCTTAAACACGTATGCTCATTTGATACAAATCCGCGACAGGTTTCATATTTATAACCTAAATCTTTTAAGATGAGTTACGCATGTCCAATTTCACGACGAGTCACCGGCCTATGTGATTAACATAAAACATCCTTGAGCCTGCCCAACTCATAATTTACAACGCATTTTACGCAATTTTTTTAATAAGTTAAAATATGCCATTCTCATTTTTTATTTGAGCAAAGAATGCAAATAACGTTCAAATTGACAATTAAGCAAATCTGTTTACCGACAACGCGTTAAGGGCATTTCGTTTAAGATAGTGCCAGAATAGAAATACTACGACGCATCGTGTTTTTTCGTTCCGATCTCGTCGCATAGTGGGTAAACATTTCAGTCACTGACTGAAATCGGTGTTTGAGTGTGACATACAAAATGTATTTATAGAAAATCAAGGAATTCTGACAACCATTTGAATTACATAATATTAAACTGTATACTATACTTCTAATCTATTCTTATCTAATAATATATCACGTCTAAATAATAATAATAATAATAATAATAATAATAATAATAATAATAATAATAATAATGTATTGATGTTGAGCGAAACGTCGATGATTCTACACAAACACAAATGTTTTGACGTTGAATTTAATTTCACACACTTCACATTGTCTCGATATGCGATATTAGGTGGCTCAATTCTATGACAAAATATTCAATATTTGGAATATTTATTTTTTTTCTGATAGGAAATTCTGTCGTTCTATTGTATAACGATGTATAAAAATGAGTAAAATAATTTATTTTATTTTCAATTTCTGGAGAAAATTAATAAATGATTTCTTCCGTAGGAGTCGGCGATCGCTGTGATGACGGCGTGTGCGACGCTCTCAATACCCAGTGCACAAAGAGAAGCACCGACAGAAATGAAGTCAGTGTTTGCGTTTGCAAGAGGTTACACCTGTCTAGTAGTAACAGAACTTACTGCTATACATGTAAGTTGTAGATGTACTAGGTAGTATGTACTTTTATTCATAAAAAATATTATTTACTATTCTCTTTTGCAGACAATTTACTCTTTTTAACTTAGGAAAGATTGTCTTTGAAATTACTAGTTAACTTTAAAAACGATTTTGAATACGAACATTAACTGTAATATTAAGTAATATATACTAACTTATACAAAAAATAAATAACGCCTAAGATTATGTTCTCAGGAATTTAGCTTACTTTTTATTTTTTATAATAACAATGCGTTGTACATATTACTCATAGAATGTACACCAGCAGGTTTTAACAACAGTACCCTCTATGTTTACAGGGCCCACGAGCATAGGTGATCTGTGTGACCAGACGCCCTACTGCAAGTTCCTGGGAGAACATGTCGAGTGCATTCAGGGCAGGTGCCTGTGCCGAGAAAACTTTGCGTTTCAGAACGGCATTTGTGTGGAGAAAGTCCATCTTTCGAGCAAATAAAATTTGTATTCTTAAGAAAAAAATAGTGGTTTTATTAAAAAGGTGAAATCATTTGAATGCAAATTTCAAATATTAACTGAATTGTATATTTTTGATACGTATACTTTGAAAATCACTTAGAATTCCCGTCTAGTATTTTCATTTTTAGTTTAAGTATTCAGAGTGCGAGCTAGCAATTTTCTCGTGGGAGGTGTTTACATCTTGAGGGGGTATCAGCAAGTTGACGAGTAAAACGAGGACCATCTTAGACTACGTAGTACAGTCTGAAAAATCCTTAGAATGCACTTGGGGACGCTTCCCCCCCCCTATTCTTTGCTGTGGTTTCCGTATTTGGAACATTTCAAAGGGTGGAAATTGTAAATGAAGTGCCCAAATATGGATTAATTGTATCTTTGACAGGTACAAATTAATATTTTTCCAGCAAATGCTCTCAAATTGTCTACGGGGACGATCCCCAGCAATTCGCACTCTTTAAGAACATTACATGATTTGATAATATTATTTTTGTTACGTGTGTAAAATACACTTCTGTGTATATAATACTTCATTATAGAATACTTATTGCAAATTCATTGTACGAAGTAATTGTATTTATAAATATATATATATGCATTTCAATATACTTTACATTTTTAATTAACTGAAATTTAATAGATTATAATATAATATATTACTTGTTACATAAAGATGACTGAATACATAACCAAAACAGTGCTAATTTCAATATTTTGGGTGTTGATATTATTTAATGTGAAAAATGGATTACAATGGAAGAGAATGATTAAAGTGACCAATTATGATTTTTTAGATATTTTCAATTATCAATATCCCTTATGTATAATTTCAGTACATTACTGAAAAACGTTTTAATTATTTAGTATTTGTTATCTTATAACACCATTAAGTTAACCACAAAATTAATTTGGAGGTACGTTCGTTTAATAAGATTACTTCTCTAGTTATAATACAGTAATACTATTGTACATTTTTACCCAGTCACTCTGGTGGGAACTTCGAACACTTCGTGGAATAAGAAATATCTTTGTGGACTTGGAAATAGTTTTAATAGCATGTTTTCCAATGTCGAAAAAAGTGTGGCGTTTCACACGCTACCTCAAGTGCCACTCTGGCAAGAATGTACCGTTTCCCCTCTGGCTTCTCGTCCGTCGAAAAGGCAAGTGAACGTAGCGGAACGGAGCGATATTATTTCAGAAATATATTAAGAGCTCTACTAAAAATGGAAGTTGTTACGAGTGGTTTTGATTATGTTAAATGATATTAAATTATTTGAGGGTAATTTTAAACTGCAGTCTCTTTTCTGCTCTCATATAACTATACTTAAAAATGGATTTTTACTTTCCCGTATACGGACGTATGTACGGAGTAATATACGTATTATAGGAAAAGTTATGAAATGCTGCGGAAAATAGATTTCGAGATTTCAACAGAAATACACGTTTTGGGATCCCCTGATACCGAAAAAGTATTTTTTCAAAACGTCCGTCTTTCTGTCTGAGAACACCACCAGCGTCTAAACCATTCGTAGGAGTTTTTCCAAATTGAGGCACCTCTGTCCATCTGGCTTCAGTCGAAGCTTTGAGATTTCGAACATTCTTTAAAATTTACTTTATATGACGCCCCCCGGACATTTTCAATTTTATTTCAAAAACGGCTCCTAATTGTTCCTTTAAATTTTTATACGGGTAGAGAAAAATACACTTATAAAGGTGGCTTAGGTCCGATTTCCTTGGTTAACTCTGAATTTTTGAAACTTTCAAGTTTGAATTATTGCCGGCGTCTTCCTACAACTACAAAATTAAATATAGATATTTTTTCTTCCGATGAAATCTGTTGTTCTCAATATGGTCATGTACATTTTTTTGAAAATTTTAGTTGTTTTCGAGCAATTTAGCTTACAATAAAAAAATACAATAAAATTTCCTCAAAAACGCCTCCAAATTTTTTCTTTAAACGTTTGGTAGTAATAATGCTAAATACACTCTATAAGATGACATTAAATCCATATTACTTTATTCTTTTGTTTTCTCAAAAATGTATTTTTTGGCGTGTCTCTCACGATCTTAATATTTTCATTTAGTGACAATTGGTTCACATTGCTGTGTTTATGAGAATATGCGCTTAAAATAATGTCAGATGACCGTTCTCGAAAACGCAACAATTATTTGTGAAAATGAGCTCAAATTGCTCATTTTCAAGAATGCTCAAACGCCCTTTTCTCAAACATGAATCCAAATTTTTTCTTCAAATTTTTCCAATAGTGCTAATTGTACGGTTTAATATGACAAAAAGGTCATTTTACTGTATTCTTTTTTTCAAAAATTACACAAATGTAATTTTTTTGAAATATCTTTCACGCTTTTATTATGACAATTTACAGCGATTCGTAAACTCTATTTCATTTGTCACTAGAGTGTTTTGAAATGATTTCATATGAAGTTTTTCGAAAACAATAGTTTTCTGTGAAAAGAGGATCAAATTTTGCATTCTCAGTAATGCTTAAACACCATTTTCTTAAAAACTGTTTCATATATTTCAATGAAAAGTTACATATAGGACGAGGTTTTGCTCGTCTTTAATATTTTAGAGTAATAATTCGATTCTACTATTAGAAAACCGAAAAATTAAGAAAGTTTAAAACAATGTACTTTGGGCGGCGATAGATGGCAACTGGCAAGGGAATGTGGGAAGCCCTATTAGTTAGCCAAAACCAAAGGAAATCAAAAACTAGAGCAGGAAAGTGTGTGCCATTCTGTTGCATTACTAGTTTGTAATTTATTTTTGTGGGGTTATGCACAGACACGAAAACTTAATTTTCTATTTTGGATACCTTGCAAAATCCTATTGTAACAGCATCTAACATTATCACTCTTCCTTATTTTTCAATGTGTTTTAAGTAGCACTCCACTAACTTATTATGCAATTCAAAACGACTAAGCAATTTTTAAATACTGAATTATGTATCTCTTAGTGAAGTACACTTATAAGAAATAAAATGTTCAATTTGAGTACCTGTCGTCGATTTCTGAAAGATTAAAATGGCATATCTGAGAAGGAACTTGTTTTCTTTAAGCCCGGAATGTGAATGTGTGTGCATGTTCACAGGAGTTTAAGGTTCTCGCTATGTCGGAAGATTACGTTCCGAAGCATGTGCTGATTAACTGTTAGGCACGATAATGATTCTGTGACTCAAGGTGCAAAGCGTTTCATTGTGGGCGTTGGAGACGCAGCTGCCGCTCGTGTGACACGCAGAACATTGTCTTTGATACTCAAAGCTGCTTTTGAGTGGCCACCGCCTCGAGTCGCGGGCGGCAACAGTTCGGATAGGATTGTTTGGATACAGAGATTGTCCCGCGAGATAGCATTCTTTCGCTGAGTGCAGTAGCGGCTTGTGCTTAGCTTATACGGTTGCCCACCCTCCAATACTCTTCATAATAAGAAATACATATTTTCGATTTATGTTATTCAATAATCAAGGTATTGCAACAATTTCGATGTATGAAATCATTTTGAAATCAAAAAGCGCCTGCTGAGCGGTCTCTGGCGTATCGTTGCAAGCCAGACAACGCACCGATGTGTGACGCCATGGGTTCAACATTGGTTTTCTTTTCCATGGGTTTCCTTATGGGTTCAACATTTCGCAGCATGAGCCTCTCTGCTTCACGCGCGTCCCTATGTGAGTGGGCGGTCATTCCCCGAGCACTTTACGAACACAACGGCACCACAAAAATCGCCACAAGACGTCACCATGGACTTTTGGGAACTCATCGCCGGCTGCCCTGGGGGAACTCGAGGAATATTAGTTATCTGCTTTCACCTAATATGACTATATTTACTTTTTTTTTAATTGCGCCTTATTAAAGGTAGACACATTCGATGAATTTTGATGACATTGAGTGAATTATTTTTATTTTAGTTTTACGAATTTATTTTGATTTTATTTAAGATTTCTTGATTTAAAGTGTACATACGATGAGTGCAGTTACTCTTGATAGTATGTCTCGATCAGCTGATTGTCTTGATCAACTGTGGATAGTCCTGTGATTGCGTGCAGTTATTTTCCTTTCAGTCATTTTGCTTCCCTATATAGAGTGTGTATGTGAATCCAAGACAAATTATTTTTTGTGAGTTGCTTCATTGTTGTTGTGGTCGATGCTTTTGCTGCCGATATCTGTAGACTGGAACTGACAAACCTTTTGAAATGAAGTAACAATCTTTTCCGCTTTTCGGGACGCATTTTTATGTGAATTTTATCCTTTTGCTAGTGAAGATTAGAAATATTAAATAAATGTATTTCCCTGGTATTTTTCCAAAATTAAATAAATATTTAGAAAATTCCTTTTAGGTTACGCCCTATTGAAGAAAACCTAGGTACTAAGAGATCTAGATATCCAAATCTATGACTTTAAAATATTATTGAAAATTCACAATTTTAAAAAAGCCTTAACCGGAAATTCAAAAATGTTTTGTGATAGTGAATACAAGTGGAGCGGTTATGTGGGTGTAATGCGAAGTCCTCTGTTTTATTTTCCCAGTAAATTGTTTGGAGATGAGGAAACGTGGTCGGAGAGCAAGTTTAAAACATCAAATATCATAGCGAATGTTTTCTATTCATTGTTTAAAGATTTAAACAATGTTCGAAAGTTCGAAAAAATGGCGCTTTTGGAAATAATGTAAAACAGTTTGCAGCTACCATTATTTTCGCGCTTCCAGTATAACATAGCAGATAAATTAGACCCCAAGACATTTATCTAAATTACATTTCCATCATTGAATAGAGCTGCAACCTCCTTTTTTAGAGCACACCAGCTGAATGGAATGCTGAAAGGGCAGCAACTGATCAGTTGGCTGATGCCTTTTGCATTTTTTTTCGTGAATTGGGCATTCGTTCTTGCAGAACAAGCCATAAACATGACGACTGATACCTGAAGACCAAACGGATTTTTAAATGATTATTTCATAGGATCGACGAAATTTCAATGTTATTGTCGCATCGCCTAAAATGTAGTTTCCAATTTACACCCACTGTCACAGGAACACGAAATTAAATATTTATAAAGCAATTTCAATTTTAGTAATGAAATAAGGGAGTCTAGGAACTTTCTTAATCACATGAAGGCAAATAATTTCAGAAAAATTAGCGTGGTTTTGAACATTTGAGCCTCCCCCCCCGCCAAGTTGTAACAGAAATATATATGTGAAGACTGCAAATCTAACAATAATACCAAATTGCAACACATCGCCACTGAATGCATTACATTATTATTATTATTATTATTATTATTATTATTCTAACAAAGGTGTGAGAAAGATTGTTTTATGCGGTATACGGTAGACGTCTTTAATTTTGGTATGCACATATTGCTATTACAGTGTATCACGTACGGTTTAAGAAAAAAAAGCTATTTTGGTAATTTCTTGTGAGAAACCATATTTCATAATGGTATGCAAGCAGTAAAACACAGTAAAATATTTAAAAAAAATAAAGGTAGTGATACAGTAGTTTAAAATGAATTAATAATGCAATAACAAATTTAACATAGAAAATCTATTTTCTCCTCCGTTTTGTTAAAATAAAAATGTTTTTTCTTATTAAACACCAACAGTAGTCTGTCATCCTGGGGATCATTCTTTCGACCCTAATAGCTTACTTTCATCAGGTTTATATCCTGATGAAACTGTTATTCAAGTTCTTAACTTACTGGTTACACGTTTTCAGGTAAAAAATCAGGATAAGATAATACAAAATGTAACTTAAAGCTCTTATCACATTCGAGTCTCTTGAACTTTTTGAATCATTTTAACAATTTGTTCGTATCTAATATCTTTAATATTGCCCAGAAAAGTGCTGATAACATCCTTGAATGAAGTTAACGTTCTACGCCAGTTATTTAATTTCTAAAGTTAACATTCTCAATTAGCAAATATGTGGGCTGTCGAAAAAGCATTCTTTTACTTTTGTTTCAGGCAGCAATCTACATTTTTGAATATTTTTTTAAAAAAAGGAGCCAGTTTTGTTTAAGGCTTTAACAAATTACTGCGTTATTTCAAGAGTGATATGCAAAGGAGTTAGAAACATTGCGAATCAATATTCGCATATTGCATATAGTGCATATTTATCTGTTGCGCTAAGTGTATTTTTTCTGACAACTACATTTTACAATGTTTTTCTCTAGCTCTCGAGGGCCATGGCATGATAATGGGGTAATCCTTCTTGTCGCATGATTTTTGGACAATTTTCTATACCAAAAGCGGAGAAAGAACTTATATTATTTTATAGTAATGCTGATAGAGATACTGGAATCGAAATCATTGGTCCATGTGCCTTAGATATTATCTCGGTTAGCAGATTTGGATATTTGATGTTTTGTGTAAACGACTTGTTTTATTATTAAATCCGCATATTTTACTCTTATAAAAATAAGGATAATTGAAATAATCTCGTTGCTCAAGTCAAACCGTAGAATATCAACA